TGGCGTCATCGAAAACTAGCAGGTTCGCCTTTGCTGGTTTAAACCCTTCCCGGGAAAGGGCAGACCAGCATCCCGCCCCAGTATCACACCCGCTGCTGTCCTGGCTGTGTTGCGGGCGTCTCCCACCTGCCGGCGGCCGGATGGCCGATTCTCCCAGCTAAGCACAACTCTGGCCATGTCGTGTCCCCCGCAAAACCTTCCATGCGTGAGAGGGGCCTGTGTGCCAGCATTTGGGAGGGTCGCTCGAGCCGAGGAGCTTGAGACCAGCCCAGGCAACAGAGAAACCCGGGTGGAAACATAAGTAAACACAAACTTTCAATGACTCCTTACTACCCAAGGGGAGAAACCCCGAGAGTCAGAGGTGTGCCGCTACTTCCCCTCCACAGAGGCCGCCGACCCTGGGCGCCTGCCCTCCTCAGGCCAGCGTTCCAAACAGTGCCTGCCAACCCCTGAGGCTACGGTCAGGTTAAACCCATTTTCCTGGACATTGGCTTCAACACAGGTTTATATCTTTCCCATTCTACAGACTCAACTGGAACGATAATAGCAAAAAGCTCTAAAAACTGTGCTGTACACAGCCAGACTCGGTGGCGCCTACTCAGGAGGCTGAGGCAGGAGAATTGCGAGTTTGAGGGCGGCCTGAGCAATGTATTGAGCACCTGTCTTAAAAAAAAAACAAAGACAAAAATAAAAAGGCTGGGGGTGCAGCTCAGTGGCAGAATGACTGCCTAGCACGCATGTGGGAGGCCTGGGTTTGAGCCTTAGTAATGTCAAAAAATTGTGTACCTCAAAGAGGAAAAAATGGGGAAGAGACCAAACAGACAAAGTTCAGGACACTTCAGAAACTGGAGGCTGACTGGCAGGACTGGCAGGGTTTCCGCAGGGCACAGGAAGCAGGAGGTTCCATACTGAAGCAGGCAGAGAGGGTAGCTGGGGGCTGAGGGGCCCGGGAGACACTGCCGTGAGCGGAGGCCGGGTGAGAAGCCTGCACGTGGCAGCAGAACACAAGACGACCGCACCAGAACAACGCAGGACGACTCGGCCTCAGTGACACTGGGCCCGTTACAGAGAGACTGGGATGAGACTGAGGATACGGCAAAACCAGCACCGGAAATGGCCGAAGCCCCCAGCTCACTCCTCCCTCCCATGCCCAGAGTGCTGTAGCCTGGGGTCTCCCTTCCAGGGAAACTAAAGGTGTCTGTCTCTCTGGAGAAACGGAACCCTCTCGGGAGAAAGGAAAGGTTCAGCAGACACAGTGACACGATCGGTTTCTCTCCAACACCAGCAGTCTCGAAACCAGGCCCACCTTTCACCCGGACGCACAGGCACTGCTAAATACAGGCAAGCGGCACGAAGGCAAAGGAGAAATATACCTGCGTCGGACTTCACCAAAATCCCACACTGACACTGTCAGGAGCGTGAGGCTCGGTGCGGGGGCGTGCAAGCTCAGCAATCTCAGCACTCGAGAGCCCAGGACAGGAGGGCAGGGCCATGGGCCCCGCCTGGGCCACTCGGTGACTTAGCGAGACCCCGTCTAACATAAAGGATGAAAAAGGACGGGAAGGTAGCTCAGTGTGCAGGCCCTAGGTTCAATCCTCAGCATCAAAACACAGGAACAAAACAACAAAAAAGAGAAAAGAAAAAACTACCAAATGGGAGAAGGTATTTGCAAATTATACATCTGAAAGGGACTTCTCTAGAATACATTAAGAACACCTAACTCAATAATGAAAAGATACATAACTCAGCATAAAAATGGGCAAAGGATCTGACATTTGTCCAAAATAGACTCACAAATTAGTCAGGCATGGTGGCAGATGCCTGTAGTCCCACTTATTCAAGAGGCTGAGACAGGAGGATCATTCGAAACTAGCCTGGGCAACAGAGTAAGATGCTATGTCAGGGGGAAAAAAAAATACCCTAATCATCAGGGAAATGCAAATCAAGGCCACGGGAGGTACCACTGCAGTTATTAGATAGTTGCAATCACAGAAACTATCAAATATTGGCAAGGATATAAAGAAACCCAGGAGGCTGAGGCAGGAGGATCTCTGTGAGTTCGAGACCAACTTGGGCTATAAAGTGAGTTTAAAGCCAGCCTAGACTTTTAAAAAAAAGCTCTTAAGAAATGGATCTTCTTATTTCTAGAAACTTGTTTCTGATCCAGATTCTTTACCCAAACTATTAGTCAGTCAAATACAGATAGGGGATATAAAAATGTTATTTCAAACAGGCATCTTTTCTTAGAAGACACTACAGGAGGCATCGCAGAAAAAACGAGGGGAGTATGCCCATAAAGAAAGCAATGAGATCTAGGAAACTGTTTCTAACATAGGAGAAACTCAGGATGACAACGATACAGTTCAGACAGGAGGGGAACAGAGGTGCAGAGGAGGAAAATCTCCACGACAGAAGAGCATCTCAGCCGGGCGTGGTGGCACATGCCTGTAATCCCAGCACTCGGGAGGCTGTGGCAGGAGGATCGCTGTGAGTTCGAGACCAGCCTAGGCTACAAAGTGAGCTCAAGGTCATCTTGAACTGCATAGCGAGACCCTGTCTCAAAAAGACAAAAAAAAAAAAAAGAAGAGCAACTCAATAGGTTTGATATCTGGAAAACATACTTTTTACTAACTTTCTATGGTGGTTCCAATGGAGTAACTTGCAAAATTTTAAGAATAAATTTGGTCAGGCATGGTGCTGCACACTTGTAATCTAAGCTACTCAGAAGACTGGGGCAGGCAGATCTCAAATTTGAGGTTAAGCGTGGGAAATTCGGTGAGGCCAGTCTTGACATACAAAAGGGTGGAGATATACCTCACCAAGGCAGAGTGCTTGCCTACTATGTGCAAGGTCCTAGGCTCAGTACTGCTGTAGCAGAAAATGCCCCCAGCCAGTCAGTTTGCTGCCCAGGTAACAGTTCCAGTTCCAGTTCCTGTTACTTGTGTCTCTTAGAAATGGTTGCTCACTGTGATGCACGATGCACAAACCAATCCCCAACTGACAAGCTAATCTGCTTCTGTACTTCCTGCTTGCTTATCCCATGTAAGCCCTAGACCACCAGAGATCAGGGCCTGATATTCTGGGAATGATCCCCATCAGTGCCTGTGGATGTAAAATAAATCTGCCTCCAAATCCTGGGTATCATTTTGGTGTTTGCGCTTGCCACTACACTGCAAAAAATAAAAACATTTTCTTTAAAAAAAAAAAAACAAAAAACAGCTAAAAGCTGAGTGTGGTGGTACAGGCCTATAATCCCAACACTCGGGAGGATGAGGCAGGAGGATTGCCTTGAGTTTGAGGTCAGCCTGGGCTCTGTAGTGGATTCAAGGACAACCTGAATTGCATAGTGAGCTCCTGTCTCAAAAACAAACAAACAAAGAAAAACAACAGATAACCTACACAGGGACTGCCTCCTGGGGATGGACACAGGGAAGAGGAAGATTCGCATCTGGTGCTTTTCATTTTAAAGCCTCTTTTATTAACAGCTTAACGGAACATGCATGATTTAAAGCAGCAGGGGTGCCGCTCAGTGGTATAGCATGTACTTAGCATGTGCAAAGCTCTGGATTCAATAAAAAAAAAAAAAAAAACACCTATTACCACCGGCCATGGTGATGCACACCTATAATTCCAGCACTCAGGAGGCTGAGGCAGCAGAAGCCAGCCTGGGCTACAACAGTGAGTTCAAGGCCAGCCTGAACTACACAGTAACACCCGTCTCAAAACAAACAAACCAACAAACCCCTATTACCTATTTTTCACCTCAGCATAGACTAAAACCCAGACTTCCACATAATCAGGACCTTCCAGGGGCTAAGTCACCCTTCCATTATGCTTTTTCTCAGTCCTCTCACAGTTTTTCCCACAGCCTCCTGCACACCCTTCCCTGTAACAAACTACTCATGAGTGCGTACCTCTTCCTAAGAGATCCCGCTCATCCCTAAAGCCAGGTCCAATTCCCATCCTGCTTGCAGAACCAGCTTTTTGCTTTTTGCTTTTAGCCAAGTCAAACACAAAGCACCTCACGGATGAGGAGCCCGGGCCTCCATCTCCGTGGAGGGCGGGGCAGCCCCAGGCAGAGCAGCAGGCAGGAGCCAGGCGGGGTTCCAGCCCACCCAGAATAACACAGACCTCTCTGGGCGCAGCAAGCCTCTTTCTAGGGCCACAGAGCTTCCAGAGTTATGAAAGTGGTGTGGGGGCCACGAAGGCTGAGGGCTCCGAGCGGGACGTACAAGGGGAGCCAGTGTGGTCCCTGGTGCTACGAGAGCGGAAGGGCAACCACGAGCAACATCGCAGTGCCCAAGCCTGGGGCCGAGGCACCGAGAGTGACGCGGAGGCCAAGGCTTTGCTGCCCTTCCTTGGCGCGGCCTGGACCTGCGAGGGTCCGTCTGACCTCGCCCTGCGACCTCCCACAGATCAGGTCCCCAGGAGCACAGTTCCTACCAGCACAGTGCTGAGTGGCGCCAAGTCGGGCTGGGCTGTCGGAAACGGGGCATGGGCTCCTCTTCTGGGGGCCTGACCTGAGGCAGCACAGGCTGGGTGACCCGCCCTAACCCTACGCACCTCTTCGCCCAGCTCCATCCAACCCAACCCGGCCCGCAGACAGCGCTGGAGGATGGGCCGGCCCACCGCAGACCGGGACCGTAGCAGAGCTGCCCTTCAAAGACGGCTGCGGCAGAAACGCCAGGCTGGCTCTTCTCCCACCCACCCTTCGCTTCCCCGTGGTCTTTGGCCAGCACCACAACCTCCGCACTACCTCACTTTCTGCCTGGCTGCCGCGACCACCACCAGGAAGGGCCTGCTGCTCTGAGAGAGGGGTTCAGCGGCAGAGCGCTCAGCCCATGTGCACGAGGCCTGGTGTTCGATCCCTTCACCCGTTCTCCGGCATCCAAGCCCCGTCCCTGCTTGCTCCTCCCTGGTCCCTCAGGCTCACCCCCACCCACCACACCACCACCACAAATGCCCTGGGAGTGGAAGGAGGGGTTTATTCCAGGGCTTACCCAAAACTTCACGAGAAAAAAGGCATTGGAGGGCCCCCGTTCGAAGAGCTCCTTGAGCCCGCCCTTCTTCTCCGGGAATTTGTCATAGATCTGGCGGATGTCTACGGCTTCAAGGTAGGGGTCGCTGTAGCTTGGACTTGACTGGCCAATGTGCACGAACAGGTGCTTGTTGTACTGTGGAGGAATGGCGGTGTTAGACACAGGAAGGCAGGGCAGGCAGAGTGGGCCAGGGCCTCCCTGCCCAGCTCTGGGGCTCACAGCTCCGTAACCCGGAGCAAGTCGCTGCACCTCTCTGGGCCTCAGTTTCCCCACTGGGAACTGCAGGTCCAATTCTTTTGTTTCATTCTGGGCTTGTGAGGAGGAGTGTGGGTCATTACAGGGTTCCTCAGCTAAAACGAGCTGGAGGCTGGTGAAGTTAGACTCCCACCAGCTGGTGAAGTTAGACTCCCACCAGCTGAGTACTAGTCTGGCCTTCGCAGGGGACACTGGTCACCCAGGACCCAGGCACTGACGGGGACAGCCCAGGGGTGGCCACGGGTCCCAGATGGTGCCCCAGAGGATGTGAATCAGACACAGGAGTCTCCTCAGCTTCTCGGCCCCGCAGAGCCAGGGAGTGAAGGGAAGGGTGTGGGGCGGCTTGAGCCGGGAGCAACTTTGGACCAAGAGGGAGGAAGAGGACTGCTGGGAGCTGGGAGGGAGCGGAAGGCGAGAGGGGTTGGGCCGGGAGTGTGACAGTAAGTGGGGGGAAGCAGGTGGAGTGAGGCGAAGAGAAGCGGGGAGAGCCAGCCAGGGGGCCTAAGCTGACCCTCAAGAGTGTGGGAGAAAAGTGCCCAGGAAGCCAAGCACAGGTGGTGAGAGCAGTGGGCAGGGGGTGGGCGCAGGGCCCCGCGGAGGACTCACAGTGTCTGGGTCCTGCTGCTGCTCCAAGAAGGCAGAGAACTCCAACATCCAGAGCTTGGAGCTGGCCACGCTGCGGCCCTGCCATGGGGGCGCCGGGGGCGCCGGGGGTGCCGAGGGCGAGGGGGCAGGTCCCGCCGCAGACTCAAACCCTGCACGCAGAGGGAGAGGCCCATGGCGGGGAGGCGCCTCCCCGCCAACACCCTCCGCGAGGACCCGGGCTCGCCGGTGAAAGCCGTGTCTGCCACGGCTGTGTGTCTGGGGCGGGGCTGCTCAAGCAGAACGAAGCTCGAAGGCGACTGGGCCCTGGAGGGCCACCAGAGCAGGCTCCGTCCGGCTCCTGTCCTCCAGCGGCCTTCGTCTGGGTAGGAAGATGCCTGCCCAGCCCAGAGCTGTTTCTCCGGGGCCCAGCACAGAACCCGGCCCAGAACAGGCCTGCAGCACAGCGTGACTAACAAACAGGACCCAAATGGGACCCAAGAGGGTGTCAGAAAAGGCTCCCCCAGGAGGCGACTTTGTAAAGAAGGGAGGAGGTGCACATGGGAACCTTGGGGTGCAGACATTCTAAGCCAAGGAGACGGCCGAGGGGAGCAGGCCAGGCCTGGAGCCAGCATGCTGAGTCTGGAAACTCGGGCTGCAGGGTACAGAAGGAAGGCGAATCTGGGCAGTGGCGGGAAATGAGATGCCACAGACAGATGCGGCAGCTTTTCCAACAGGAAGTGACGAGGGACCACAGGGTTCAGCGAGGGGACATGGGAGGCACAGAGGGAGAAATGCCAGCACTTGGTAACCGCGGCCTGCGAGGGACAGAAGTCTCGACGACCCCAGCGTTAACATCGGGCAGCGTGGTCAACAGCAGTACCCAGTCCGCGGGCATGGGAAGTGGGGGCACGTGGAGGACGCCTAGGAGGGACAGTGGGGGTGGCGCAGCCAGGCAGGACACATCAGCCAGTGCTTAGTGCATCTGCTGAGCCACGAGTTCGCTCGCTCATTTACCCCTGCACCAGGGACGAGCAGCTGCATCGTACCCACGTGTGACACGGGACGCAGACATGGTAGCACGGACAGGGAAGACGGCGAGGGGATCGCACAGCCAAAGGAAAGGCAAGGGGTGAGGGGCCGGGAGGGAGGGAGCAGAGAGCCGAGGGGTGACGGGAGGCGGCCAGGGAACCCCAGAAGGCTATGCAGATTTATACGTCTCCTGAACCTCACAAACGTTCAGCCCAGAAGCACCATGGCAAGACGGGCATCCAGAGCATCACAGGACGGCAAAGGCGATGCGGAGCCGGGAAGAGGCCACTGCGGCAATGTGGGGGGACCTGGCTAGGGCTGCACCGCCGTGGGCAGAGAGCAGGGACTGCACCGGACTCGGCGACGGTCCGTGTGGGCACGAGGGTGAGCAGCGCTCAGGTACCCAGGGAGGCAGGAAGCCCAGGGCCCGGGCCGGACTGTTGGCAAGGAGGCAGCCTCCAAGCTGGGGGCAGGAGGGCGGCCTGGCGCCAAGGCCGTGTCCTAGGAGGGGCGGCGGGGCGCCCGGGTACACCTGAACAGCCTCCCTGTCCGGCCCCTCCGGGCCTTTTCCCTCAGGTCCCCTCAGCTGGGAAGAGGCCAGGCTGCGGCAGGACGTCCTCAGCCCTGCCCCGTGGGAGGCACTCAGGGGCACACGCTGCCCGGGGGGCCAGTGCCCCGGCACAGCGAGGCCTCTGAACTGAGTGAGCTGCTGAGGGCAGCAGTCGGGGCCACACAGGGGGACGAGGAGCTCGGCACACAGCTGAGGGGAAGGACCGGCTGCAGGCAGCAGCCCGAGACTCGTGGCCGGCCCACAGCGGGGCAGCATCTAAGATGGACGTGCAGGGGGCCGGCTGCTGGGGCAGGAGCCACAGGGGCACGGTGTCCATGGAGCCATCCAGTGGGACCCACCTGGCAGAGGCAGCGGAGCCTGGACAGTGTAGGTTTGTTGAGAGAAAGGCTTCACACTGTGGGGAAGGAGAGAAGGGACGTCGGCTGCCTGGAGCAGGCCCAGCGCCTCTGTGCGGCAGGCCCCTCTGACCGCCATGGTCCCGGGGCCTTCACCGCCCCCTTCCCCACCACCTCCCTCAGCTTCCTCGGCTGATCCGCCCTTCCCCGGCCTCCCCAGACAGCCCGAGGTCTGACTCTTAGCCCTGAGCGCGAAGCTCAGCCCTAGCCACACCCTGCACGAACAGGAGTTCCGGCAAACAGCACCCAGGGTGTGGGCGCTGCACATGGACTGTGTCCCACCCCTCTCCCGTGGCCAGGCTTGGTTTGCTCCGCTTCTGGTTTGACTTCAGAGGACAAGCAGTGGCAGACCCCAGGCCATACTCACTCATGGGACGTTCCGGCTTGGCCTGGTAGAGCTCCTTGCCAAAACTGAGAAGGCAAAAAGTACAGTCAGCACGGCTGTGGACACAGGGCCGGCGCTGAGGGAGACAGCAGGGCCTTGGCTGCAGGGAGCCTGTGCGCTGACCCCAGCAGTGGAGGAAGGGATGCTGATATCCTTGTCTAGTTGCTAACGCTAGCAGGCTGCAGGGCATGCCCCGCTGTGCTAGGCTCTGGCAAGGCCCTGTGGGGAAGGTGCTCCACAGACAAACATGCAGGTGGGCAAACACTGCACGCTGCCTTCGTCCCGTGCAGGTTCCCAGAGCTCCTCAGCACGTACGCTTCAGACCCCAAAGGCAGTGGTGGCGAACCCACAGCCTGCTGCAGCGGACACACAGCCCTTGTGGCGGGTACACAGCCACATCCCCCGCAGCTGAGCATTGGTAACAGCTGTTTTTTTTCTAAACTAAAACCTCAGTACTCAGGATTTGGGGTTGCGGTCTGGACATTTGTCTGATGGCGGTTCGCCGTCACTGGCCTAGGGTCAGGAAGTCTACTTAGGGGCTCAGGGCGCAGCTCAGGGGCAGAGTGTGCTCAGTACGCATGAGGCCCTGGGTTCCATCCTCAGCACCAAAGCAAACTTTACACGTGCCAAGCCGACTTGCCCATGTGGCCATCTGTCACGTCTCTTTAACATCCTGATACGTAGTGCTCTCTGGAGGAATCTTTGAAATGCGAAGGACAAGGAGCCCACAGAACACAGGACCTGCCCCTTCCCCACGTGCCCAGGGCGGTGCTGTTGGGCCCTACAGCCTCGAAGACCCCGGGAGGACGCAGCCCCAGAAGCAGGCGCGCTCTTGGAACATTTCCACAGCACACCCAACCGGGCCTTGGCTGAGCAGCCGGGCAATGTGACATCCGGGCCACGGGTTGTGCCCGGGCACTAGCTGTCCTCCACCTGGAGGGAGGCGGTATTGGGGTCCTGAGCAGGAGTGGCCTCGGGCTGAGCGGCCGCTCCTGAAGGTCGTATGTGCTGCTGCTATGCTTCAGCTCTACTCCCCGGACTTCAGCTTCTCATCTGTGAACCAGACCAACTCGGCCGTCAGCTCCAGGCCGGGCGCTCTGCCCTGCCTAAAGGCCGGCTGGGTCACCACAGAAGGCCCCAACAACATGGTTCCACCAGTCGAGCTGCGACTCAGGCCAGCACTGGGGTCCTGGTATCCCCTCCCCGTATCCACTCCTGCCTGAAAGGATCTGACTGAGAAAAACTGGAGCATGCTGGGCTCTGCTCCCGGCTTGCAGAAGGCCGGCCCACTTACCCCTGAGACAGCTGGGCAGCCTGGGCCCCGGGCGAGGGCCACTTTCCTGTGGAAGGCGGTGGCTGAGATGATCTGGGCAGATGACAGGGCAGCCATGCTCTGCAGCGCCTTGTCCTTAGCTGCCTGATCCTGGGGGGACAGTGGGAGGGAGGACCTCAGCAGGGCACCGTGCAGGCTCAGGCGAGGCAGCGGCTGGCCCGGGGTGAGGGAAGCTGGTGCAATGACCACAGCCAGGAAGACCTAGAGGCCAGCCACTACGTCTGGGCAGCCCTACTGGTTTGTCCTGGACTGTCACTTGGTTTCTCTGATCCGTCTTCTCTCTGTCACAGCAGTAAAATACTGCCCTGCCTATGTCATCAGGGCTTAAAAGGGCCTTGGGGATCACCTGCCAGACATTTTTTTTTTTTTTCATTCAGTAGTAGGGGTGGAACCCAGGGTTTGCATATACTATCAAAGTGCTCTACCATGTGCAAGGCCCTGGGTCCCACCCGCAACTCCAGGGAGGGGAGGGCGGCTGGGAGGGGAGGGAGGAGGGACAGGAAAAATTACGAACAAGAATCTTTAACCCTGTTCACTCCCACACCCCTAAACCTCAGCACCTAGATGGTATGGATCGTGGTATCTGCTGGTATCTTCTCAGCGTGCACAAGGGATCACCCTTGGCCACGGGGGCTGTCTGAGGCAAAGGGCAGTGTCCTCTGGCCCCACCTGCCTTAGTCCTGCACTACGGTGCCTCTGCACTGCAGGTACCACGGGACTCGCCTACCTTTCAAGTGTCAGAATGTCAGTGTCCACCGTCTGCTTCCTATGGCTTCAAAGGACCCAAAGAACGCATTCAGCCTGCACAGGCCCTGACCGCACGAGCATTTGGAAGCCCTTGGTATGGCACTGGTAATAACCATGCCAGGCTGGGGGCCTTACACCATGGTGGAGCACTTGCCTAACATGTGCAAGGCCCGGGTCTCCACCCCTGGAGAAGCGAACAAATGCCAGAGCAGTGTCATACTTGTATAAGCCAGTGCTTCCCCGCCTGGGCTCCACAGTCCCGAAGGGGCTTCCAAGCTGCTGAGACAATCTCTATGTCAAAAAGCCTAATGGGAATTTCATCTTTGTCCAAAATAAGACTGCACATACACTGAGACTATAAGTGCTATTCAGCACATGCAGCTTTACAGGTGCTGCATGGCTTGGTTAGGTTGACTCCAGAGTTCTGACTAGAAATTCTGAATCTTTATGATGAATAGTGTAGCATATGTATGTGTGTATGGGCTACACATGAAACCCAGGGCTTCATGCATGCTAAGCATGTGCTCTTCCACCCAGCCAAACCCCCAGCTATGATGAACTATTTCAAATGGAAAAGCAAATGAATCACTCAGTTGGTGACCCAGGCATCCCTTGAGTGCTACAGAAGTTGAGAACTACAGGAGATTCTTGTGGCTCCCAAGTGACCACAGCAGGATCATCTCCCTGATCACACGAGAGCCCTGATCCACAAGAGGCAGGAAGTACAGTGGCTGCAAAGCTCAGAGGTGCCCACCTAGCACCCAGCACTGTTTGGCCGTGCAGCCAGCACCCAGCAGACTGTGCCAGGGTATGGCCTACAACAGCACATGGAAGGTCCTGAGCATGTTACCACTTTAGCTCCCAGGAGGATAGAGAATAGCAGGAACCCCATTGTAAGCTGAAGCACCTGCGGCTGGGCTAAGGACACAGCTCAGTGGCAGAGCACCTCTACCCTTGCCTCTCCCTTCAGAAGACAGGACAACGTGGCGGGCTGTGGGCCAGACTCTGAGATCAACCCCAGCTCCACCCGCTGCATGCCAGCAACTCGCATCCCTTCCCGGATCCCTGGTCCAAACAAATGACTGGCTCAGGAAACCACATCCTCAGCGGCTTAGCTGGGAGTCAGCAGGAAGTAGAAGGGAGGACTGGGAAGGACAACAGTGGCCAGGAGCAGAGCTGGGAGTTGCTGAATGCTCCAGTGACAGGGAACCTCAGCTGTGACCCCACCGTATCACTGTCACCTCTTGGGGACATGAGAGGTGAAAGGAGCCCTCCCTCGGAGGCTGTGACCAGCCCATGCCCCTGCGGCCTGGGAGGGAAAGACAGGGCAAGACAGGGCTTCAGCACCGTCACAGCCCGAAGATGGCTACCTGGCCTCACTGTCCACCCAGCACCTGCTCACTTTGGGTCCCAGAACCCTTTAAGAATAGGACAAAATCCTCTATCTAGGAAAATGTTCTCTCTAGGGAAACACAAACACAAGGATGACGTTTTCCCCTGTTGGAGGGTTTGTGGCTCCAGTCTAGCAGTCCACAAACGCCTGTCCTTGACCCCAGACGGCAGCCGGGGGCAAGGGTGCATGTGACTCTCTGAACCACACATGGGCAGTACAGCAGCCCCACAGGAATTGACCCTTCCCTGGACGCTCTAAAACACAATACTGGGAAATCTGTCCTCCACCCTGCCGCTTGCCAGCCCAAGGAACTGGAGGCAGACAGAGAGAGAGGACGTGAGGAGCAAGCAGGGCTCTAGGCAGGGCCCGCAGCTGCGGCCAGGCCACTTGTCCCAGGGGCAGAGGAACAAGGTGCCTGGCCGCAGCTGCGGGGTGCAGTGACAGCTGGGCTGGTGGTGGGTGTGGCTTGCTAGAAGCCAGCAAGGTCCACAGCTCCCACCAACTTGATTTAAGAGGCCAACGGCAGGGCCCTGGGCTGTGGAACCAGCTGGGACTTGTGAGATCACCTATGTCTGTGCCTCTTGCACTGGGTTCTGAGGTGCCCTGGGTTCTTGCTTAGTAGAGATGCAGGCTGTATGGGACGGGGGCTCTCTGGCCTGTTCCTCACCAACCCAGCTACAAGCAGAACAGCTCCTGAGCATACTTGGCTGAGATTTTGTTGGGGGGGAAAATAAAAAGGGGATTTTCATTGCTTTAAAAATATTTTTCTTTGTAGCTGGGCAAGGTGGCACACAACTGTAATCCCAGCACTTAGGTGTCTGAGGCAGGAGGATCTCTACAAGTTCAAGGCCAGTTTGGAATACATAGTAAGTTCAAGGCCTGCCTGAACTACATAGCAAGACCCGTCTCAAAAAAATAAATAAAAATGCTTAAAAAGCTTGTAAACTAGTTGTTTAATTCTGTGGCCAGATGTTAGAGTTTTCCTACTGGCTGCCAAGGTGGTAAACACCTCTGTGGTTCGCCTGCTCCTGCCTAGCGATCACCAAAAAGGCCCCGGGTTCCAGACAGTAGGAGGCCTGGTTTCCCATCAGCAGAGGCTCTGCAGGGAGGCAAAGGAACCGCAAGTCCCCCAGGGCAGCAAGGAATTCCAACAATTCTACTGCAATACGTCCAAGCCCTGCCACTCTCGGGCCGTGGCTGAGGGTGCTGCAGGGTCTGGAGAGACCCAGCAACTCGAGGAAGTCTGCAAGGAAAGGGGTCTGGAGGGCGACCTGGCTGCTCTGAGCCAGATAAGCCCCCCTGAGCTGAGGCCAGGGGGTGTGGCTCAGAAGGAGCCCGGCCTGCAGGTCACCAGGGTTCAGGTGCCTGGCACGCACACACCAGACCCTGAGGTCCAGTGGAGGGCAGCCTCAGGCTCATCCCGACTGCCCCGCAGCAGGCCCCGGGCTCGGCACACAAGCAGCCCGCCCCTGAGCCCACAGGGAGACGCTGCCTCTGGAAAAAGAGCCCCAACTTCAGAAAGCTGGCCGCACGGAGCCCCGGTGCCTCCCCCCTCCCACCGCTGCTGTGTGCCTCACCTTGAGCTTGGCCTGGATCTCACGGGCTTTGCGTCGAGCCAGTACCTGGATGTGGCTAGAGACCTTCGGGAGGGGGAGAGGGCTGCTGTGCTCACCGTCCAAGCAGCCGTCCCCCCTCGGCCCTCCACCCTCGTCTGTGCAGACTGAGTAAATGAAAGCCACCCAGGAGGCGCTCAGAGAGTCCCGAGTGTGGCTACGCCTCCCAAGGGCAGTGGCAATGTCTGCTGTCCCCTCCGCTGTCCTGCAGAGGGGCTGGTACTCCCCGTGAGGCAGGAGCTTCCTCCTAGGTGACAGAATGGGGTCCCTGGGAAGCTGGAGCCGCCCTGCTCCAAAAGCCCACGCATGGTCCTGGGGAGGGTCAGGGCCCTGGGCGCAAGCTGGAGTTGAGGTACTGCACCGGGGCTGCACCTGTCTCCCAACCCACCTGCTTCCTGGTGCGCGTCTTCCCTGTCCGAAGCTTGATGTAGCGGGCAATCAGTTCGTTGCGACCTGCAGAGACAGGGTGGCCTCTCAGTGGGGAAGAGGACAGAAGAAAGGGAAACAGGAGGTGGCTTCCCTGAGGGACCTCTCCTTGCTCTGCTTGCCCTGAGTGGAGACCTGGGTGGCGATTCACACAGGCCTGCTGTCCGTGGAGCACAGGGATCCCCACAGCAAGAGGAAGCCAGGGCCTCACCAGCTGGACTGGTGACCTGAGAACACAAAGGTCACAGGGCCGGCAGGCTGCTGGTCACTTACAGCCCGAGGAACCTCCAGAGCCCCTGGGCGCCCGGCATCATTCCTCTCTCCACCCTGGCCTGCCCTGCACACTTGGGTGGCTCTGGGAAGTGTCTGGCCCTTGGGCGTCCCGTGTGAGGTTCCCACGGCCTTCGGAAATGGGCAGAGCCTTATTAGATATCCTGTGTGTGGGTAACCACTGCACAGGCATCCCACATGCTGAGATGCCGAGTGTACCCGGAGAAGAGTCTGGGCCATCACTCAGACAGCAGAACCTCGGCCAGGGGTGCAGCTGCGCGGCAGAGCCCTGCTCAGCCTACTTCCTGTAAAAACCAGTCAGGCAACCAAACCGTTCAGCGCCCGCTTCTACCCACAGCTGACTCGGGCGGGCAGGCAGGTGCCGTGGCTGCAGGACCTTGGACTGTAGAAGCCCCAAAGTGTCCTTGGTTGTATTATCACCAGTGACACAACCAAAGAAGGCTCCCTGCTTTCAAAGAGCTCAGCACCTTGCTGGGGAGGAGTGCCTCAACAGACCCAGCTGTGCTAGAGAAAGGATGGGCTCGAGGACAAGGGGTGGACCATCGAGGCAGACTGGGTGAGGGGAGGAGAGCTCGGGTGGGGAGTCATCACTCTCTTCTCTTGGGGCCGGAGTAGCCACAGGGGAGCTGCTGATGCAGGGGCAGGTGAGCCAGGCGGGCCGTGTGCCACCTGGGTTGTAACCAGATCGTCTGGCCAGGGCCACACTGGCCGCCCAGCTGACCTTTCCCCACTGCCAAGGCGGGATAAGAGGCCACCCTCCAGAGGTGCCGCCTGCCAGCACACTCGCTGGCCTGGGCGCCCTGGCCGGCCCGTGTCTGAGGAAGCGGGGAGGGGACAATCTGCCTGCGAGCTGGTCTGCCCCTGAAACTGAGTCTAGCAAGATGTCTGCCCTTGGAGCTTTCCAGGGAAAGGCGCTGAGCGGCCCGTCACGCTCGACAGTTCTACCCCAGGTCTGACTCCGGGCACCCAGGCTGCCGCTACAGACTGCAAGGAAGTCGACGTGAGCTCTGGCGCCAGGGGTCACGGGACTTGGGCCTGTGGAGCTAGGCTGAGCCCACGGCCTCACGAAGGAGCTGTGGTGCTGTGGAAAGCCACTTCCCTCGCCTCCCTCTCATCCTTCACTCTCTTTTTTCTTTATATGCCCTTTCTTCAAGCTTGGAGACAGAGCCTTGCTAAGTCACTAAACCCCGCAGACTGGGTTCAAACTTGCAGTTTCCCTGCCTCAGCCTCCCCGAGTGCTGGGATTATAGGCACGGGCCACCACATCTGTCCTTGCCTTCTCTTCTTAAGTCTATTCCTTCAGGGTTTTTCGTGTCCAGTTAAAATTGTACAGGCATAGGAGCTAGAGCCTGAGTCTGGCTGAGTGAGACCACTGGCGGCCTCAGTTGCCTTCTCTGGACAATGGACACATCTTGAGCCTAAGTGAGTAGCCTCATTCAGGAATGGAAGGGACGAGGAAGAAGCGGGGCGAAGGCGCCCATTCTGGAGCCGATGGGCAGGAGTCTCGAGGTTGGCAATGGGAGAGCTGGGGCGTGGGGAAGGCAGGGCACCCTGGAGGCCAGCGACATCCAGGGAACAGCTCTGCACACAGGCAGCTCTGGCTAGTCACGGTGTGTGCTGGACTCCGGACACCTCTGGGGGAGAGGCCGCAGCCTCACCCGCGTCTATCCGCAGTACCTGGCACCTCCTGACCAGACGAAACGACTGAAGACGGGATGAATGGGTCTCTGAACCTTTGAAATGTACCCAGAACTGGGCTGTTTACCCGCACTCTTGCCGTGGTCCAAACAACCATGATCCAGCCTGAACAATATACACCTCCCACTTGGGATTCCTCCTCAGTCTGTGCTCCACACAGACGCGGAGTGATCCTACCACAACCAGAGCCATCCGCCGGCTTCCCATCGTCCGCAGAATAAAAGGGTCTAAGTCGCCGTGCATGGTGGCACACGCTGTAATCCCAGCACTACGGGACGCTGAGGCAGGAGGATCGCCAAGCTCAAGCCTGGTCCCTGCAAATGAGCTGGCCCGGCCTGGGTAACTTGATGAGACCCTATCTCAAAATAAAAAAAAATTTTTAAAGGCTGGGCATGTAGCTGAGTATGTGAAGGCCCTGGGTTTAATTCCCAATACTCAAAAGCAAAAGTCTAAATCCCACCAAGGAGGCTAAGCTGGGCATCATAATGAAACCTTATTTCTAAAAAGTAGAAGTTCTCAAGTCCCTACAACAGCCTGGAAACCCCCACCGGCTGTCCACCACCCAGCTCACTCCCCGCAGCCCCACCTCCTCCATGTCCTGGAGGTGCCGGGCTCACTGCTCCTCTCCAGGGTGCGTCTGCCCCGACGTGCTGGCTCAGGGCCCAGATGCCGCTGTCAGGGGGTCTTCCCCGGCCACCCGGAGGGCTGAGGTCCCCCCTACCCCAGCACTCAGCTGTCTGGGTTTTCCTCCCACACGTCTCCTCCCCACCCAAGAAGGAGAAAAGTGACTTATGGGCCAGGGATTTAGCTCAGTGGCTCAGTACCTGCCCAGCAAGCATGAGGTTATGAGTTCAACTCCCAGCACCAAAAAAAAAAAAAAAAAAAAAAAATTCCATTTAGGCTTATCGAAACAGGACACCCAGAAAATGGCCTGCATATTGTATGCTCTTGACCAGTGTTTGTTAAATGGATGACAAAGAGGTGGGCGGTAAGATGTTGACCAGATACCCGGGGTAAACTGATCCAGCCTTCTAAAACACGGGGTGAGCTAAACTGCCTCAGTCTCCCAGACGGTGGGATTAGAGGCAGGAGCGGCCAAGGCCGCAGTTGAGGCAATTCTCAAAGCGCTGGTCTCCCCGGAGCTTTTCTGTAAGTGAGCAAATCTGTAACTTTGTGGGGGCGGAGGCATTTAAAAGTTGAGAGGCTCTCTTTGAGGAAAAGCATGAGATACAGTGACAAGGCCTCGGCTTCCAGCCAGGCGCTACAAAAATAAATAGATAAATCAAGTGAGCAACCAACCAACCACCTGAGAGCGATGGATACGTTCCGTATCTCAGAACTCATCACTTAGCCGCTTTACATATAGTTTACTGTTTGTCAGCTGAGTCAGTATACAAAAAAAGACAGGTAAAAAGGAGACAAGGAAAACTGTAATCTTAAAATTCTACTTTTAGAAAAACTGAAGGTTTAGGACACAAGGATACCCAAGGTTACAATGCCTTTTTCTCGAGATCCACAAAGAGTCTGCCTTCTGACCTGGGCCACCAGAGGGGCAGGGACAGACAGGAGGAGCGCACAGCCCAGCCAGTCACCCACCACGGTATGCTCCTGGGGGTCTGCACGAGTGCACTTGCTTAATTCCGCCTGACATACTGTCTGATGTCTCTCCCCAACCCGCCCCTGTCATCGGAGGAGGACCTCCCCACATGGGGTGAGTCCAGGTGCTATCTCTTCCCTGGGGGGCCTCCCCAGACCCCCACCTGCTAACATCACTGATACTGGTCATGGTGGTGCACATCTGTAATCCCAGCACTCGGGAGGCTGAGGCAGGAGGATCGTTGTGAGTTCAGGGTCAGCCTGCTACATGGCAAGACTATCTCAAAGAACAAACGAACAAAAAAATAACTTTAGGGATGAAGAAGGAGCTCATGTGAGCAAGGGTCCCAGGTATAAGGCTCGCCTCCTCCCACATGCGCAGGTAATTACATCTATTTGCCAGATGAGGAAACAGAGGCCAGAAAACCCCACCCAGAACACCCACCGGGAGATGGATCTAAGATGACCCGCCCGGTGGCTCCTGGTGAGGAGCTGGGGAGGATGGGATTAGAGCTCCACTTGCTGTGGTGCCGGACCCGGCCCAGGAAGATCCCAGTTGTTCAAGGGCTCTCCCAGGCCAGCCTACTCTGGCTGAGACCCCGGCTCCAGGCCCCCGTGCCTCACCCCACGTGTCTCAAGGGCTCTTCAGCCAGAAGGCCATGCTGGCCGGGGTGGGTGGGATGGCACAGAGGCTACACCCAAGCGACTAAGGCTGGCTCGGCTGTCTTCGAAATGTTTTTAACTGTACCCTATGGGATGCACAGGGAGGGTATAATGTATACAATGTGGGGTGCTTAAATAAAGCTCATTAATAGACCCATCACCTCAGATACTTACCCTTTTGGGGGTGTTTGTTTTTCTCAAGAGATAGCACCTTGACTCACCCCATGTGGGGAGGTCCTCCTCCGATGACAGGGCGGGTTGGGGAGAGACATCAGACAGTATGTCAGGCGGAATTAAGCAAGTGCACTCGTGCAGACCCCCAGGAGCATGCCGTGGTGGGTGACTGTATTGTCCAGGATGGCCTTGAACTCACCATGTAGCCTCACCAGCCTCTAGCTGGAAATTGTCCTGCCTCAGTCTCCAAGTGCTAGGATTACAGGTACGTGCCACTATGTCTCGCTCCGATACGTACGGTTTTCATGGAGAAAATATCTGAAACTTACTCTTTTGGTGCTGGGGGATAGCTCAGCGGTAGAGCACTTCCCTAACATGAATGAGGCCCTAGGGCTGGACCAGGCCGGGCTAGCCGGGAGGGGGTTGGGGGGGGAGAAGGGGGAAGGGAAAGAAATTTTGAAGCACACGTTAACTATCGTTACCCCCCTGTGCATAGGTGTCAGAAAGCTTTCTTCCGGTCTAACGGACCCTGAACTGTGGACTGGCATCTCCCCCTTTGGGTCCCAGGTGAGCCCATCCTCTGCCCTCTCCTGTGAGTTGGTTAA